TGGGACTTACGACTGTTCTGTGTCCTAACGACAGTGGTGTGCTGGCACCGCGGGCAGGGTTCGTTCTTCATTCGCAGCCGCGTGCAGCTGAGGACACTGTGACCTAGTTGGACAGTTGAACCAGGGAGAAAACTCAGAGACTCGGGTAAGGTGGTGTTAAATTGTAACACTTTCTCCTCTAAGAAATCTCGGACTCCATAAGAATGTGATATCAAATCATTTTTCATAAAAAATCTTTTTAAGCTGCAGTGGAAAGTAATAAAGAGTATTGTACAGTTGTACATGAGAATATTTTGGTTTTATTCTTAAAGAATGGTAGCTCCTAAACCATAGGGATTGTTTTGCCCTAGATGAGCCTACTTTTTCACTACTTCCAGCTTCTTACATGTTTTCTGGTTCAGCGTGTGTCCAGACTGCTTTTTAAAAATAAATGCGAAGGTGCTTGCTGGAGCTCATCAGGCACTGAGCCCCCTGTGCACAGCCCCTTTGGATTGAGAGCGCTGGACCCCCGCATTGGCCTCCTGAGCAGATGCCTGCCCTGGCACTGTGGCGGCTGTCGTGACGGGGACCTGCCCTTGGCTTTGTTTAGCCTTTAAATCCCAGGCCTGAACTGGGGGAAAGCTATCTAACCTGTGAGTCAGTGTCCCTGTTCCTTTAGCAGCTTGATTCCTGTTGGATCAGTGTGGGCAGAGGTCTGGGGGCTCTTACCAGTTATGCGGTTAGATACCACTAAACTGTTTTGTATCAAAGAACTGTATCTTTTTGTGAATACTCTTGTGTAAATAGACTCAAAGGCACTGTTCGTATTTTTAGGGCTTATATTATAATTTGTAAGGTTTGATGCTGGATTCTGCATGGCGATACTCTTGGAAGGAGAGACAGGGGCTTGCTCTTCTTTCCAAGTAGGAGCAGTCTTCGTAGGAAAAAAACAGGTTTATTGGCTTGGTCGTACAGTAACAGAAATGGTCACACTGATCATGAAATGAAATAGGTTTTGTGCAAATTTAATGTAGTTTCTTATTTATTGCTTTTGTAAATTGAATACAAACGGACCTTTATGTAAATAGACTGCTGAATCCTGTATTATCACGGCTACTAAAAATTACTATGTGAAGAATGCATTCTTCATTGTAACTTTTAAAATATTTTATGTATTTCTAGATATGACTTAAATTTTAGTTTTCATACATTATGAAAACCTATCTGCATACTCCTTAATGGCTTCACACTAAACTCATACCCACTGTATGTACTTCCAGTTACCTTGTATCAGTATTAATTTACATAGCTTGTTTTTACTGTGCAATTTGAACAAAGGAATGCAATGTTATTTTCTACAAAAACAAACTTGTTTATTTTTGTAATAACAATGTATCTGGATGTGGACCAAATTCATACCACTATGTAAAACAGCCTCTCTTCTCATAGTGCAATTACAGTTTAGAAATAAAACCTGGTCCTCTACCCTTGCTTTTTTAAAGTAAATGGCTAGATACAGTTGTCCTAGCCCGGGTTTCCTTGGAAGGGAAACGCAAAACCATTTTGAAATTGCTTAGTTCAAAATTCATCAAACTGTTTTAAATTATTGAGTTTGGTAATTTACTATCATTTACTTTTGACATTACAAGTGCAATAATTTCACATACTAGAACTCCTGGACGGGTGGAATATGTGAGGATGGTACCTGGTCTTTCTGGTGCTACTTTATTTAAGCCTTTGTTTTAAACCACCTTTCCCGAAACAACTCTTAGGATAGAAAATGTGTCCCATGTGAGTACATGCAGCCCAGCGTGAAACTTCTCCTATCCTAGTCCAGTAGGAGGAGAACGAGCATTATTTTTGTGTTTGGTGTGAATATACAGTCAATAAAATGATTTACCATTGTAAACAGCTGTGATCCTTTCAAATCTCTGGATGTGCTGCTGGGTTCATCTTGCAGTCTTCAAAGCAGGGCACCAGTAGGTTAACTGAGCTCCTGTGGTTAACACCATGAATGAATCTTGGCTCCTATCCTTGTTTCTCAAGTAATAGAAATGGGCGACCCAAAGGCAGAAAAATTGGCAGGTTTACAGAAAGTTTCTTTTTGGTAATTTGTTACATATTTTATTTTTTTAAGTGTATATTTTTATTTTGCCTTGTTTGGTTCACATATCAACTGTTGAAGCCATAATTTTAACAATGAATTTAAGTATTCAGTATAACTATTTGAAGTTTATTTGCTGATACCAAGACAAGTCATTCTGGGGGATAAAGTCAACCTTTGCTTGTAATTAAAGTTGCTGCTACTTCTATAATGTGTATTTTTTTTTTTTTTACTTGGTAAAGGGCAATAAAAGCATTACAGGAACTTTGTTTATTCAACACCTCAGCCACGGGAATATTCTTTTCATTATGTAATCCTACCTCTTAGAATTTTCCTTTTGAAGTAACTACAAACTCAGATTTAAATTTTATATGCAGAATTACTTAGGAGCATCAAGAGGGGGCAGCAGCTATATATGCCTGACTGTAGAAGCTGGCAAGAACAGTCCATCTCGAGGACACAGAAAATGTTCAAAATGTAATCAAAATGATTTCCACCAAACAAAACTGCCTATGTAAGCCTAGAGGAGACTGGGCCCCGTCTCTAACAGGTGGGATTAAAAGTGATTCTGAGTTCCCCAGTTTCCTAAGTCTTTGTCTCTATGGAGTTCCCTCTTACGGACATTTCATATAAATGGAATCCTGTATCTGTGGCTTTTTCTGTGTGGCTTCTTTCACTTCTCAGGACATTTTCAAGGTTCATCTTTGTACATGAGTACTGAATAATGTCCCACTTTCTGGATATACTGCTTCTATTTATCCATTCATCAGCTGAGGGATATTTGGGTGGTTACCACCATTTGACTGTCATGAACAGTCACGTACAAGTTTCCATGTGGATAGAAGTTTTTGGTTCTCTCTACAAGTGAAAATGCTTGGTCATGTACCTGGTTAATGTTTTTTTTTTTTTAAAGATTTTATCTATTTATTTGAGAGAGCGAGAATGAGAGAGAGAGAGAGCACATGAGAGGGGGAAGGTCAGAGGGGGAAGGTCAGAGGGAGAAGCAGACTCCCCGCCGAGCAGGGAGCCCGACGCGGGACTCGATCCTGGGACTCCAGGATCATGACCTGAGCTGAAGGCAGTCGCCTAACCAACTGAGCCACCCAGGCACCCCCTGGTTAATGTTTTGAGGAAATGCCCAACCATATTCCAAAGTGCCGGCGCCATCTGCTATGTTCCCACTAGCAGAGAAGGTGGGCTCCAAGTTCTTGCATCAGCACTGGTTGCTGACTGTGGTTCTGGTCAACAGCCATCTGAGTTATGTATGAAGCTGTGCGTCATTACGGCATGGGTGTGGATTTTTGTGGTGGCTAATGTCTCTTCATACAGTTATCAGCTGTTTGTTTGTATATCCTTAGAGAAAAATGTTCATATGATTTGCCCATTTCAGAGTTGGGTCATTTATCCTTTTATGGTTGATTTGCAAGAGCTCTTCATACATTCTAGATACTGGACCTTTATCAGATATGATTTGCAAGTATTTTCTCATTCCAAGGGCTTGTGACTTTCAGGACACTGTCCTTTGAAGCATTAAGTTTTTCATTTTGTGAAGTCCAACTTTTTCTTTGGTTGCTTGTGCTTTGGTTTATGTAAGGAACCACTGCCTAATACAGGGTTATGGAGATCTGTGCCTATGGTTTACTCTGAGAGTTTTGCTTTTTACTTTTTGTTTTTTACAGTTTAGCTCCTCTTTAGGTCTTTGACCCATTTTGAGTTAATTTTTGTGTATGGTATGAAGTGAGGGGGTCTTTGTTCTTTTTGTGTGTGGATATTCAGTTCTAGCACCATTTACTGAAAAGGTTCATTTTTTTTTTCCCCCTCACTGAATTGCCAAAAATCATTTGACCGCAAACATATGGATTTATTTGTGGACTGTCAATTGTATATCGATCTCTGTTCTTACTAAGCCAGTACCACACTGTTTTGATTACTGTCCCTACTTTGTAAGAAGTTTTGAATATATGACTCATAAGTTTGTTTTTTCAAGACTGTTCGGGCTATTATGGGTCCCTTGCATTTCCGTATGAATTTTAGGATTAGCTTGTCAGTTTCTGCACCTACAAGCTGGGATTGTGTTCAGTTTGTGGATCGACTTGGAGAATACTGCCATCTTAATTAAGCCAATCCACAAACATGGGATTTCTTTCAGCAGTGTTAGTTCTAGTGTAAAAGTCTTGTACTTTTGTTACGCTTATTCCTAAGTATTTTATTTATTTATTTATTTTTATTTTTATTTTTTTCAAGATTTATTTGGCAGAGAGAGACACAGCGAGTGAAGGAACACAAGCAGGGGGAGAGGGAGAAGGAGAAGCAGGCTTCCCGCAGAGCAGGGAGCCCGATACGGGGCTCGATCCCAGGACCCTGGGATCATGACCTGAGCTGAAGGCAGACGCGTAACGACTGAGCCACCCAGGCGCCCCCCTAAGTATTTTATTCTTAATGCAGTTGCAAATAGAATTGTTTTCTTGTTATAGAAAAACAGTTGCTTGTCTGTGTATTGATAGCAGTTCCTATAACAGTTTTGTGGATTCCCTAGGATTTTCTACATAAATCTGTCCTTTCTAATCTGTGTGCATCTCGCCAAACTGCTAGAACCTCAAAACAATATTCAGCAGAAGTGGCCGCAGTGGGCATGCTGGTCTTTCTGACCTTAGGGGGAAGTTTTCAGGCTTTCATCATAGATGATGATGTTAGCTGTGAGTTTTTCACAGGAGGGGACTTCCTCACCAGGATAAAGGACTCTGTGTATTGAGATGGTGTATTACACACTGATGTTTCAGGTATTAGACCAACTTTTCATTCCTTGAATAAATCCCACTTGGTCACAGTATAGAGCCGAACTTGAAGAAATATATTAGTATGTTAGTATTTTTACAAATCAAATAAGGAATAAAAAAGAGCCAGACACAAAGAGGCCTAAACGCATTTTGGCTTCATTGGCCCTAAAAGGCGGCAAGGTGCATGATGAGGAGGTGTACCGAACTGTTCCAAGGCAATTCACTGAGAAAGCAAAATAACTTGCATAGGAACTTGCCCAGGGACCTTTTCTGGGGGGTGGCAATGCCCCCCTTCCTTGGGAAGAGAGGAGAGTGAGTGGTGGGCCACTGGCTGAAAGACCATTTCTTCCTCCTGCCCCCACAATCCTTCTGGATTAGCCCTTCAGTGATTTTCTTTGCCAATGGAGAGGATTTTTAAAAAGCTCAACATTTAACAAAATATGATGCACAATTTCATTCCAGAGTAAAAAGCATTCCAGTATTTCCTTATTGAGCTCTTTGCTCACATACCTGCTCTGCCCACATGAGCCATCTAGGTATTTTAAAAGCAATTAAAAAGACTTATAAAAAAGGCTCTGTAGACTTGAAATAACCCTTCAAAGGTGGGGATACAGAACAAACAATAAAGATCTGGTTTTTCTGTTAAAGATACTAACTAGGAGGTAAAAAGTTTATTTCAGTAATGTAAGGCAACAGTTAATCCTCAGCAAGTCAGCAAACCAGTGAAAAGAGAGACCATTGTTCCTCCTACAGCTTCCTGAGTGAGCAGCTGACTGTGGCCCCTTCAGTGGAGACATCTTAGCAACCCTGTGGGTGCTCATTTCCATCAGCTGAACTGGAAACAGGTACTTCATGCAGCAGTCTAAGGTCAGACTTTTTCAATGCATGTGCAATACTGGGCTACTTACACTGAAATTCTGTAGGGAAAACTGCATTTGTTAGAATTTGAAAAGGCCCTCTCAGAAGTGAGTTTTGAATGGGGAGCTACTCCAGTCTCAGGCTGCTGACTCATCTGATGGTGTGCTTATTATAAGAGTGGCATGAACAGTAAGTAGAAGTACTCAGCCATTTCTGGCGCTAAAGCAGTCTGCCCTGAGACCAGCGAGCATCTTGAAAACCGAGAGAGACTGTTTACAAAGAAAAATAACAAAGGCAGAAAGAAAACCATGATTATTACTGAAAGCGAATCACATCCTTCCCAAAGGGGGAAGAAAGGAACTTTCATACAATGCACGTCCTCAACATGGGACTCCCCCCCCCCCAATAAAATCTATTTCAGATCAACCACAGGGACAAAAGAACTAGGCTGTATTTTGAAATTCATTGATCACTTTTTGTCCACAACTCTGATTCTCTATAAGCTACAAACACGGCAACCCTTCCCCATCGCCTGACAACGTCGTCGGAAGTCTGCGGGCACCCGGGAGGAGCGGGACGGAGAAAGCACACTGCATCCATCTGTCACAAGTCCTCTGGCGATGCATGCTTAGTGCCACTTCGTTTTACTATGGCTTTTCTTTAAAATGCCTTTTTGGCCTATGCTGGCTAAACTGAGAATTTGTCCAACCTTTCCAGTTTCTTAATGGAAAAGAGCAAGCTAGGAGAACTGACCACTCATCTCCCCAAACCCTTCCACTGCCGGAGCAGAGACGCGCCTCCCAAGCCCCACCGCCGTCTTCTAAATGAAAAGCACCTTGAGGTCCTCGGCCTGCCCTTCTGCAGGATCCTCATCAGCGGCTGCAGGGCCGGTGGCCTCGCTGCAGGCAAAGCCCGCACGCGCAGCCCCGGGAAAGCCAGTTCTGCTGGATACGGACGGATGATTGAGACTGGCAAGAAAACCGACAAAACTAAGGACTCAGTGCATCAATAAAGTTACGCCCTAAAGGATTAACCTTGGATAATAGGACATGCCTACTAAATGGAGAGAATCAATATTTATAAAATGCCCAGCCACTCGTCACCCCACTCACTTCCCAGCCCAGAGCAGCCACCGTGGCAACCCTGGGCTCTGAGGATGGAACCAAGCCCATGTGCTTGCACCCACGACAGCCTGAGCCAGAAGAGCCTGGAAAAACCCCGCAGGAAAGGCAGCTGAACAAACGCTCCGCTGAAACCGGCAAGGTGGACAAGGGAAAAGTTGGACATCGGGCCTTGAAAGCAACTCCAAAAAGCATCACAGCGATGGCTCTCAGGGACCATGTGTCAGAAGGATGCACATCCCCAGCTCGGCACAGACTCCAGAGGAGCCAAGCACATTTGAGCAGCTGCCTGAAGTAGCAGAGCCCTCGGCTTAGGCTGCGGCCCCAGGAGCCCCCAGCTTGCCCCCAGGCCTCGCTGTCCCTGCCCTCTGACCCCTAAGGTCCGTCTTAGGGGAGTCCCGACTCCAGCGAACGGATTTTTAGCTACCATCCTCTGACCAAACCAATCATCTTGGGCTTCAACTGGAAATGTCCTTTGTCCCATGAACAGCTCACAGTACCTTCTACATATGTCATGATCCTAAGGGGTAACAACTACTCAAGTGGTTTGTTGGCTTTTATCCTTAAGGTCCCAGAGAATGACTGACGGGTGTCGTGGTGCCCACGGTGCTTTGGGGCCAGGAAACCGGCGCTTTCAAGTGTCAGGCCACACGTCCCCATCATCATGCTGGGCCCTGAAGAGTGTCAGCCCACGAAGGTCTCTGAACAGGTGCTCATTCAAAATCACTGACTTACAAACATCCATGTAACGTGGGGAGAAACTGCGTCACGGGGGTATTCCGCTGGGCATGTACTCCGCGCTCCTCCAGAAGACTAAAACACAAAGAGACTGTAGGTGCACACCCAGGCAGAAGGAAATGTCCAGTCTGGGAACTTCTCTCTCAGAGCATCCAGCTGGGAGGATTTCTTATCTTCCCCAGAAAGGTAGTGGGCAGCAATGGCCACAGTGACCATTCCTTCAGGCCGTTCTTCCATGACCTGGCAGAGAAAATTAGTTTAGTTCTCCGGTTCTAGGAGGGCAGAATGATGATCCCAAACGCCACCTGGGAGGCTGATCAGTGACAGCAGCAATGCAGGGAAATTCCCACCTGTACTTCTATCCAGAACCGCCATGCAGAGGCCTGGAGCCCATGGGAGTAAAATACGAAGTAGTCCCCTCCTCTACTTGTGACCGGGGTGCCATTGCCAAGAGACCACTGGGAGAGTGTTGACCCTTTGTGGGTTCGAACGTAGAAGGACATGTGGCTCGGTCCTGTAAGGTAAGAGGAAGAGTTCATCTTTTAAGCAGTTAATGCGCCACCAAACCAGCCTCTGAAGGACATGCCTCATGTCACCTTCCAGATACTCACTACAGACCTACCAGAGGTTCTGGTTTGCACCTCCACCCCGTGGCATCAGCCGGGGGAAGTAACGAGCTCCAGCAAAAAAGGCACAGAATTTACAATGAGGAAACCTGTCGTTGAAACCTACAAGAACCTAGCGCACGTGAGTCCTTCAGAAATCTAGGGAATAAGCTTCATCTAGCCAAGCGGTAACTTCAAGAACTGTAGCAAAAGAATAGATAGGATTTTAATAGACCCAAACACGTTACCAGGGCAGTGGTCCAGTAAGGGTGGAAGCCCAAGATATAATGCAGTCAACATGGAGAGGCAGCGAGGAACAGAGTTGTAGAGACTCACAGGGTTAAAGCCACTAAAAACAGACAGTAAAGGGTTACATGAAATGTGGTCAAAACAAAAAAAACTTTCCTAAATGCCAGAAAATATTCTTTTTAGTTTAAAGAGCAAAGAGAACCTGTTCTTTAACAAAGGAATATAGCAAATAAAGCACAAAGTGGAGACCAAAATTGAAAGTAAATGTGAATAGATCTAATCAACTAGGAGAAAAAATTTCAACTTGGCTTAAAAAGCCAGATCCAATCATCTGCCGTATTCAAGAAATATACTTGAGAGATTCAGAAAGGGTAAAAATAACCGTATGAACAAAGTGGACACAGTTTTTAAAAAGATCTCTTTTAGGGTGCCTGGGTGGCTCAGTTGGTTAAGCGTCTGCCTTTGGCTCAGGTCATGATCCCAGGGTCCTGGGATCGAGTCCCACATCGGGGCTCCCTGCTCCTCTCTCTACCCCTCCCCACTGCACATGCTCGCTCTCAAATAAAATCTTTTAGAGAAAAAGACCTCTTTGATCTCAGGAAAAAAACCCCAGGATTCAAGACAAAAGCATTACATGTAAAAAGACACTTTTTAATACTAAAAGCTTTAATTGACAGTGATATGAAATTGTGAATTCTGTGCATCAAGTGACTGACAGCAAGTGCTTGATGAAGCAAAACTACAGGAGATGCAAAAAGATACACATGGCAGCCAGACACAAGTAAGAGACTGTAATAGTCCACTGTCCTACAAAACATCAATTGAACAAAAAGGATATAAAAAGACCAAAACAAATGATCCCTGAAATAGATCATATGGATATATATATCCAACTTTAGAAGACAAATTCTGCATTATCAGGCATGTACAGTGGGCACAAAACATTCATAAACTTTGAGCTTTTAAAGGAAATACCGGTTCTATAAAATTGAAATATAAGTAACACTGATTGTAATTTGGTAAAACTTAAAATTATCAATAAAACAAAATGGCCTCCTACCTAGAAATTAAAAGACTCAGGGTGGCTCAGTAGGTTCAGCATCTGACTGTTGGCTTCCGCTCAGGTCATGCTCTCATGGGTCGTGTGACCAAGTCTGTTTCGGGCTTCCTGCTGCTCAGCAGGGAGTGTGCTTGGGATTCTCTCTATGCCTCTGCCTCTCCCTCCCGCCCCTGGGGCATGCTCTCTCAAATAAATAAATCCTTAAAAATAAATTTATAAAAGACGGGTTAAAGAAGAAATCTGAACAAAAATTATGTAGTATTTTCATTGTTTACAAAAAATTTTTATATTAAACTACCGTAAACGTAAAAGCAGCGATAAGAGGAAAATCCATTGTAATAAATGTTTTTTCATGTATTTAAATGAAATTTAAATCAAAATTTAAGAAGTACAACAAAGAGAACAAAAAACAAGGAAATGTTACAGATAAAGCAAAAAGCAGAAATCAACAAAAGAATGAGAATAGAACTAAACCGCTGTAACTTAGTGAAAAAATCTGTTCTTTTTTAAAATTAACAACTACTAAGCTAACCTGGCTAAGAAAGCGGCAGGGGAAGGGGAGTGGAGTAAAGAAAACACAAGTATACAAAAAGAATAAGAAAAGTAAACAGAAGAAATGTTTAAAATCACATGTGACTACTCTGCAGACCTCTATACTATTAAATTTGGAAACCAGATGAAATGGATACTTTTTAAGGAAAATAGATTACTCAAACTGTACAACAGAGACACAAATCTTAAGCAGACCAACTTCCCAAGAACAAGTTAAACTACCCCTGCAAAAAAAGACCATGACCAGATGGTTTCAGAGAGCAATGTAAGCCAACTTTTCAACCAGATCATTAAATGCTTCCAAAACTGTTCCAAGGCATTCGAAATGAAGGACAAGTTAACCATTTTCATGATGTTTATACATTTATAATGTGTAACACATACCTAAATCTGATTAAAGAGTACCAAAAAAAATAAACATGGACCAATATTACTCCTGAGTATTAAATCCAACATCACGCAAAGAAAGTAACAAGCCATGGCCTAGTGGAAAACACCGTATCAAAAGACCCAAGGAAGAAAAATCCTAGGATTATCTTTACTGATGCTGAAAATAGACTTTCCCAAAATTAAAACCCATTCCTTATAAAAACATTCAAGACATGACTGCTGATAAATGCTTGCCTAAGGCTCACCTCTCACACGCTGGAAACACTAGACATCTGTGCGCTACGTAAAGCAGGGACGCCCACTCACCACGTCCACACCATACGAGCAACATCAACCACTAACACACCAATTACAGGCCTAAGGACGGGTAAAGAAGAAAGACTGTATTTGCAGACGATACACAATAGTCAACAAGCTAGACTTGAGGTCTGTTTTTGTAAGGCTCTCAGGCTAAGAATGGTTTTTATATGTTTAAAAAGCAGTTAAGGGGCGCCTGGGTGACTCAGTTGGTTAAGCGTCTGCCTTCAGCTCAGGTCATGATCCCAGGGTCCTGGGATCGAGCCCTGTGTCTGCTTCTGCCCCTCCCCCCAGTCGTGCTTGCTCATTCGTTCTCTCTCAAATAAATAAAATCTTAAAAAAAAGAAAAAAAAGCAGTTAATAAAAAATCCACAACAGGGACATATAGCAAAGCCCAAAGTATTTCCTATCTCTGGCCATTTAAGGATTGGCAATTCCTAGTATACCTGGGGAACTCTAGAGAAGCAATGATTAACTCACAAAGTAAAAGATTCAGTGAGGTAGCAAGATACAAAACTGACATACAAAGTGGACACATACAAAATGTAACCAGTTAAGAAAACATAATGGTAGAGAAAACCCCAATTATAATAGCAACAAAAACTAGATGAGGAAAATCTTATTAACACTCCTGAAAGACACAAAAGTAGATGCGAACACATGAAAAGCCGACATTTCCAGTTCTTGGATAGGGTGACAATATTATGTCAGCTCTCCTTAATTTATAAATTATGACACTCCCCAAAATACCAATAAACAGTAAGTTTTATGTCAGAGTTATAATACTAAAGTTCATATGGAAAAACAAACATGCAAAAATAGCAAGGAAAATCCTGAAAAACAAAAATTATAAAATGTGGTAACAGGTACACAAACAGACCCACACGTATACGGTCAAATATTTTTTTTTTCTGATTTCACGACATTTATAATCACAAAACACAGGGCAGTAGATGTGTAACTAACTTGCCTGCCAGGAACCTGAATTTTACTGGAATTCTCCAAATTGTGCATAAAGGATAGAGAAAGGTTTGGCTTTTCCTGTGCTCCCTTTTTACAAGCTGGTGATTAAATAAAAATCAGAAATAATTATTGGCATGAACAAGAAAACCGGCTGGTGCAAAATAAATTTATTTCCAATTAAATTTTAAAAGCCTAGAGAAAACAAAAGTATCCGCCTTTGAAAGCATCAGCTGAGGCACTTAATTCCCTGTAAGTGCTTCATTCCCTTGGTTAACTACCAAATTTTATGATCTCACTACCACCATCTTGTGTCCTCCTCCAGTTTTCCATACTAGATTTTCAAGTCCCTTCTGTGTTCAACTGAATGAGCTATGCCTTAGCACAATAAATATATTTACTTTTTACAGTAAATATGACGACGGCTACAGTCACCAAAAAATACAAAAACCAAGCAAGCTACTTGTGAAAGAGAAAGTTCGGTAAAAAAGTGTGCAAAGCTGAGGTATATATAATCAAATAATTTTGACAAAGATGCCAAAGCAGTTCAATTGGGTAAGGTAAATCTCTTCAAGAGATGATGCTAGAACAACCAGATATCCATAAAGAAAAAAAAGAACCGTGACCTCTACCTCACACCGTACATAAAAATTAATTCCAGGTATATTATAGGCCTAAACATAACAGCTAAAGCTATGAAGCTTCTAGAAGGAAACATGAGTCTATCTTTGTGACCTCTGGGTAGACAAGGTTTTTTTTTTAGAGAGGACACACACAGTACTAATTCTAAAGAAAAACCTGATAAATTGGAATTCATAAAAATTTAAAACTTAGGCACATCAAATGACCCCATTAAAGAAAATGAATGGACAAGAAAATCTCGGAATCTGATACATACATATCTGATAGAGGACTATGATCTGGAACATACGCACTCCTGCAAGTCAATAAGTCCAATTTTTAAAAGGGAAAAGGAAACAAAGCAAGGTAACTGAGTATCTTCCAATAAGCATTTGGAAGAGTGCTCCACATCATTAGCTACCAGAGAACAGCAAGAGCTCCTGCTAAATGCCCCACGGCAATGGTTCGATGGAAAAGAACAGCAAACAGTGGCGAGAATGTGGCAAAGCTGGAATTCTCATGGACTCCTTGTGGGGAACCAACAACATGCTTAATGACCCAGACCCAGAATATTACGTACGGGAAGACTACTTACATGAAGCTCAAGAATGGTACAAAGTGAAGAGTAGCAGGGACTTCTTAAAAATGAACTTCCTGTGTTAAGAGTTCTCCAGAGAAAGAGAACCAATCCTCAACATAATATTAGCATAGCAAATCAAATCCAACACTGTGTAAAAAGAATTATATACTACAACCAGGGGGGATTTATTCCGTGTATGCAAGATTGGGTCAGCCTTTGAACATCAGTTAATGTAATCCATCACACCAACAGGCTAATGAAGAAAAATCACCTGGTCACATCAGGAAAGAGAAAAGCAAAATCCAACATCCATTCAGAGGCAAAGCTCAGCAAACTAAAAATAGAGGGGAGTTTCCTCAACCTGAGAAAGAGCATCTACAGAAAACCTACAGCTGACGTGATACTCGGTAAAAATGCAGACGCTTTCCCACTAAGACCAAGAACAAGACAACGATCCCCACTCTTATTACTCCTCGTAGCACTCTTTTTCACAGTACTGGAAGTCCTAGGTAATGCAGTAAGACGAGAAAAGGTAATAAAAGATAAAAAAGATTGGGAAGGAAGAAATAAAGTCTTTGTTTGCAGGTGACGTGATCATCTATGTAGGAAATCCCAAAGAATCAACAAAAAAAACTCTCCTGGAACTAATAAACCATTATGGCAAGGTTGCAGGATATCAAGTTAATAAACAAAATCAGTTGTTTTCGTATATACCATCAATGAAAAATACTATTTACATTAGCATCCCCCAAAATGAAATACTTAAGTACAAATCTAACAAAAGTTGTACAGAATCTATATGAGGAAAACCACAAAATATAGTTCTGATGAAAGAAAACAAGATACAAATAAATGGAGAGACATTCCATGTCATGGATAGGAAAAAATATTAAGATGTCATTTACCCAATGTGATCTGTAGATTTCAATGAAATTCCAATCAGAATCCCAGGAAATTCTATTGTGCATCGTGACAAATTGATATATGGAAAGAAAAAGACATGCAATATTCTGAAGAAGAATAAAGTTGGAGAGGACAGATACTGCCCACCTTCAAGACTCGATCAAGAGTGCACCGTAATGACAAAACAGAGAAACAGATAATAAGTAAACGGAACAGACAGCCCAGAAATAGACGCACACAAATACAGCCAACTGATGTCTGACAACGCAACAGAGTTGTTCAGCGGAGGTACAACAGTCTTCAACAAATGATAGTGGGACAACTGGAAATCCACATGCAAAAAAAAAAAAAAGAATCCAACCCTCAGACTTTACACCTTTCACAAAAATTAACTCAGAATGGATCTCTCGTGGATCTAAATAGAAAACACTAAACTGTGGAAGGTAACAGCAGAGAAAATCCAGAGACCCTGGGTTTGGCAGTGACTTTTAGACACGACAGCAAAATCATGACTCATGAAAGACAAACTGATTACACTGGACTTCATTAAATTTAAAAACACTCTTGAGAGAATGAAAAGACTACCAGATTGGGAGAAAATATTTGCAAATCACTTATCTGATAGAAAGGACTTCTATCCACATGCACAGAGAACTCTTCAGTTTCAACAACAGCAATCACACCACCCAGTTAATACACAGACACGTCCCCGGGGGTGACACACACGGCAGGAGCCTGTGAGAAGATGCTGCACACCGTGGGTCAGGAGGGAACCACACACGGAAAGGGAGACACCCCTACCGCTCTGTCAGAGCGGCCGGAATCGCCAGGTGCAGCCGGGAGTGCACAGGGTGCAGACGCGCTCGCAGAGCCCGGCAGCTTCTGACAAAGGTAAATACAGGCCAGCCACACAATCTAGCAACCATACGCCTAGGTTTTTATCCAGGTGAGTTAAAAACATGCCTAGACAAAAACCTGCAAACAAACGTTTCCAGCAGCTTTGCCAAAAGCAACCAAGCAGCCTGTCCTTCAGCAGGGGAACGGCCGAACTGGGGCACATCCATATCGCTGCTGAGCAGTAAAAAGAAGAGCGCTCTCGAGCCCCTAAGACATGAAGGCTCTGAAATGCATATGCTAAGTGGGAAGGGCTACAAATCATATGACTGCAGCTATAGGATACTCTGGAAGAGCAGAAACAGTAGAAACTAACAAAGTCAGCGTTGGCCAGAGGGAGTGGGAAGGAGGGATGAATTGGGGGAGCACCGGGAAGGCTCAGGGCCAAGAATCTACTGTGTGTGATACGGTGGGGACACGACATCACACATTTGTCCAAAACCCCCCCAGAACTATGCAACACAAGAGTGAACTGAGCCTTAATGTAAACCAGGGACTTCAATTACTAATAATGTATCAGCACTGGCTCATCCGTTTTAGGAAATACACCACACTCCAAGGCAAGATGATGATAAGGCAAGCGTGGGGCGGCGGGGAGCTCTGCTTTCTGTCCAATTTTTCTGTAAACCTAAAACCACTCTAAAAAAGTCTTAATGAGCTTCAAATGCTCTTAGAAACACTAAGTTCCTCCTAAGTCGGTAGTCACTATCATTTAAGGAAAACAATACATACTTAAGAATGTTAGGAAGTGAAAGAAGAAAACACTGTCCTGTCACTTACCTGTGGCTTCAAACGTCAGCTTCACAGAATCCCAGGGTGTCTGTTCTTTGGACACGAGTCTGAAATGAGCAGGATCTCCTGGAGAAACTTCTGGGGCAGGAAGATACCAATTTTTCCTATTTGGAAAGGTAGCTTCAATATTTAGGATGCTTAATTTTAGTTGACAGCTATCTCTGACTCATGGAAGTGGTCCGAATATACGACTCACATTCTGGGTATGAAAACAATCTCTGCTGGGCAGAATAAACCATGCTAATGACTCTAAAAGCCCGTTAATGTGTAATAAAACCTTGCCCAAAGTAAGAACATTCCAGGTGATCTTGATTCCACTACCCATCCTGTTCCTTCTTATCCAGCCCTTTCCCACCAAACCACGAAATTGTCCCAGAAATGAAACGGTCTGAAGCGAAAGCTTCGCTGCTCTCTCTCGGGCCAGCCTTTCTAAGTGCTCGGGCTTCTACAGGACAGACTTCCTAAATTTGAAAAAGCAACAGTAAGCTTCTGAGTGCTTTATCCCACTCGGGCAGGGACGGAGAACACAGCACGCATGACACGTGACGTCTGGGTTACCCGCGTAAATAGTGAGGCAGGCACACGGTGACAGGACTCGAGACAGACGCACCCCCGGCGACAGCAGCTCACGAGGGGACCAACCTGATCAGGAAGTGCACCGGGAGATACCACGGGAAGCCACACAGGGGTGCGTCCTCCTCACAGTGAGCTCGGATGGTATCGTTGATCTCGGGGATGTGAGGCGTTACGTGAGACATGCCCGTGTAATCAAACCCATTGATCCATATCCCGGAGTCCCGTTTCATCACGTGTCCGTGCAGGTCATGAAATGTTCTAGTCATATGCTGCAAAGAACAGACCGAGGAGAAAGCTACGGCTTGAATCCCTTCAGCTGCATCCCCACTGCAGATTAACAAAAGTGGGTAAATGTGACGAAACCAGGAACCGATGTGGCTACGGAGCAACAGAACCCCTCACACGCTGCTGGCAGGGGCGAGGCGGGCACAGCCACCTCATAGCGTCACCTACACATGCACAGACCTGTCAAGCCCGCCATCCCGCTCCTGCAGGGGGACCTTAGAGAAACGTGGGCAAAGTTCGGGAGCGCTGGCTCAGCTCCGTCCGTGGTAGCAAACGGTGCAAACAACCCAAATGTCCACCAGCAGGACAAGGGGCTTCAGGTGAACCCCATCACTGAACACAGTGACGCGAGGCAACGTGGGGGCCTCTCCCACGCTGGCGGGCCCCACGCAGCCAGTCACAAAGGAGTATCTGTTAGGTACGGCTTTGTAACACACTTAGAGAGGCAAACCGTATCTTCCTGTTTAGGGATCCATATGTACGTGGCCCAGAAAAGGTAATAGTTAAACTTCAAGACCGTATTTCCTGGGGGGGTGGGGCAGGGCGGGGGAAGAAGGGGGATCAAGAAGGGGGCGCTGGTTCTTAGCAGGCGCTGCTGAGGTTCTTTAAAGTCAACGATGGATACACACAGTTTTATTATTTCTTACAAATATATATATTTAAATTTTATTAAAACTTTTCTGAGAACCTATTTCAGATTTAAAAGACACAAACATTAGAACTCCATTTAGATGAAGGCTGAAAACAAATACATCTACGATAGAGACACACACACATTGTTCCCTTTCACGGCGGCCTGAAGCTGTCCCGAGCAGGCAGACAGCCCCGCTCGTCCCCAGCCGACAGACGTGGGCACCACGTGCTCCAGCCAGCGCAGCAGGAAGAGAGGACTGCGCAGGGCAGGGGCCGGGGAACTGGGGCCCGCAGGCCACACGGCCACCACCCTGCTTGCACAGGCCACACTCACCCGTGGAGACACCAGCTGCGGCCGCTCGTGCTCCACAAAACGGCGGTGACGGAGGCCGTGTGGCTGGCAGAGCCCCACGTCTTTATTACCCGACCCTTTTCGGGAAAAGTGTGCCAACTCCCAGCACTGGGGAAGAAGAGAACCGCAAACAAATCAGAACAGGAGTTTTTAAAAATAAAATGTCGTTTTTCCTTTTTTTATAATTACTACTAATGTAATTATAAAAATTTAGTAAGTCACTGAAAACACATCGACTCTCCTAAAAATGAGCTGTTCTTCACTCAAGGTTTTGTAAATTGTCAAGTTTGTCACATAAGGCATATCACTGTGTCCTCCCGGACTATAAACAAGGAATAGTTGGCCCTTTGTCAGTATCTCCTCCCTGATAACTTACATTCCAGTGTTCCTACTATTCAAGTCCATGAGTGATTACCTGAGTCATGACTCTTGGCTTTTCTTCCTTTTCCTTTAAGATTTTTTTGTAAAGTAGGCTCTACGCCCAGTGTGGGGCTCAAACTCACGACCCCGAGACGCAGAGTCGTGTGCCCTACCGATCGAGCTGACCAGACGCCCCCGTTTGAAGTTGGCTTTTCTGTTTCGCAGCCTCTAAGAGAATGACTGGACATAAGGCAGCTTAGTTCTTTCTCCTGCGTTATATCGCCAACCTCAGAAAGTTTGCTGAAAACCTAAAATCCACGGAAGTTCTAAATCCTGTTACTCGTCCCTAAGTTACTGTTATTTTCATTATGACATCCTACCTCAAAGGCTACCTAAGATCCCCCCCCCCTTTTTTTTTAAGATTTTTTTCATTTCTTTGACAGAGCACAAGCAGGGGGAGCGGCAGAGGGAGAAGCAGACTCCCCGCCGAGCAGGGAGCCCGACTCAGGGCTCAACCCCAGGACTCCAGGATCATGACCTGAGCCGAAGGCAGACGCTTCACCGACTGAGCCACCCCGGGGTGCCCCTACCTAAGATTTTTATTAGCATTTTAAAATATCGGTTTTATTTTACCAGTGGAATTCAGATTTTTTCTCCGCCTGCAGACGTTTTTACAGTCTGTCCTTCTAAAAGCTCTTTACTCCACAGCACATACTTGCTCTTGTTTTTCTAGGTAGGGGCATTTTTATAACTTGAACAGTTAACAAAACAAGCTGACGTGTCTAGTTCAGTCCCTTGGGAGAAGCGTGTCTCGCGGATCAGCAAGCCTCTTGGTGGTCAGGCTTTTCCTCACTGCCCCACGCACCAGAGCTGAGCACAGGTGAATAGACAGGTCGGGCCCGCTGGCCTTCCTGGCGCCTGGGGAAGCTCGCACGCACGAGGCGCTGCCCTCCAGGCCCTCACACGAAGCTGCTCTTACCTGAAGAAACACCCTCTTCGGCTTCGGGCTGGCGGGATGAGAGCTGTACGGGAAAAACGCGCCACCGCAGACCAGGAGGAACGTGACTGCGCACACCGAGGTCAGCGTCAGCAGGGTTTTCTTCGTGCTCTTGGCAAGGTAGATGAAGTTAATCTAAAGCACAGAACACAGAAACAGGCCAGTTACCGCGGGCTCTGTGCCGGGCGTCAGCGAGCGATGGAGAGGAGCGCCTGCCGGCAGCTGTGAACACACCGCACCCAGCGGACCGGCGCCGCCTTGGGGCTTGGCGGCCCGGGCGGGAGCCCTGCCGGTGCTAGGCAGCCGGCCGGCGAGACAGGAAAGGACGCAGACGGGCTCTCGGTTCCGTCGGCAAAGACACCAGGATGGAGACCCAGCACCAGTCAAACCATGGCCTTACTTTACTTCGGATTCTGCCAACGCCCCGCGTCAACCACAGTACGGTAGACGCCATCTCTCCGCCAAACATCATGACATGAGGCTTTTGCTAAAGAAGCGGAGGTCAGAGCGTAAGCGCAAGCAAGCCGGTCCCAAGGAGCCTCGGGTTCCGCTCCTGACGCTCTGGCACCGTGCCGCGGGGCTGGCTTCCCTGAACTTGCACTTAGACGCACGTCGGGACGCCACGTGTGGGCCGGCCCTTCGGGGCTGAGTCACCAGGGCCAACACAGCCTATCAGCGCCTCTGCCCTCGGGCAGGGGCATCTAGCACATCCTACACCTGCTTCTACTAGCTTTTTAGTGGCCATGAAGTCACAGAAACCAAAGCTGTGGGGGACACACGTGACTCACGGGGAGCGCCCACAGATCCCTCAGGGCTTCCGAAGGAGCCACACTGACCCAACGACCAGCTCCCCAGTGCCGCCTCCCCCTTATCACCCACCCTCCAGGGTCGCTAAGCAGAGCATGAACGTGAGAGACTTTAACGGAGATGAAAAAGGGAAATCGGGCAAACATTCAGAACCACCATACGCTGCGCTCTCTGAATTGAAGGACCGTAAGGCGGCCATGCACCAGCATCCGAGCCGGGCTCAGCGCCAGCAAAACGCTACTTGCCCAGCTCAGGGTGGAGTCTCTCCTATCAAAAGAAGACCCGCCTGTCCTAGGCCGCGGTTCCTTCCACCCACGCCCGGCCATTACGCGGTCCCAACGCCTCGGCGTAAGCCACACTCCCACGCCCCCTTTCCCTCCTCAAACCCCGAGGCTCGCCTGCCGCCCCTCCCGCGCGTCTCCTGGGGGCCTGGTAACGGGGGCGAACGAGATGCAGTCACAGCACGGGGAGGGGGAGGCCCGAGTGACGACGCGTCTGGATGCTGCTACCTTCGATTTCACTCTTCTTTCTGCCCTAAGTGTGACATCGCCATCACTGGGTTCCCAAATGCGTGTGAAACGAAACGAAGAGAGCACGAGAAGGGTCTCTGCAGCTCCTTGGGTGCTGGCGGTCTTGTTCCCGAGTGTCCCGCGGTCACTCAGCAGCAGTCTCATTTCATCGGGACAACCCCAGGACACCGGCTGCCCCGCCACCAGACGGGCCCTTAACTGCTTCCCTGCAAGCGGACTCAGTCAGTCCCCGCGCACTGGAAGAACAACTCTGGAGACGGGCGGTTCGACTCAGCTCCCCCAGCGGCGGAGACCCGCTGCCTCTGCTCATCCGCCGCCCCAAGGCCGCCCGCGGAGGCGAGGCGCGGAGGGGCCGCTTCGGCTTCTGGTGAAAAGTAAACGAGCTGCCGAAGTCTTCCCAGGGGCACTCTCCGGAAGCTTTCCTACTAAAATATAATTCAGAAGGCAATACGCCTCAACCCGCTCCATGGTTTCCGGGATTCCCTTCCTCAGGGCTCATTTTGCGTCTCCACGGTGAGGTTGTCAGGGTTTAACTTGGGCTGTTGCACATGAGACGGAAGTGAAAGCCCCACATTTGGATCGTCGCTGCTGAGCACTAACAGCTTTCACCCACCGACGGGGGGGGGGGGGAACCGAGTTCATGACTCCACCGACTCTGGATCGCAACCTAATCTACACGTGATGAACCCCGGACCCCTTCAGCCCTCACAGCAGCCAAACCCTTTAGCGACCTGCACAGAGAATTTGAAGGCTTAACATTAAAATCCAAAGAGGTAAACCCTGGAGGCATCAAAGAACATTTCAGAATTCTCCACCCACCGCTGCAAATACCAGTAAGGACTGAATCATTATATTAAAGGCCAGATGGCTGGAATGCTCAGACGATCGCAAACAAGAGCCGCAGAAGAACCGCTCTCCAGGGCACACGGCTGCTCAGTGCCTGTTTAAGGGACTTGCATGGATGGTGCTGAGCACGCACGTGGTATCCTTACATGCCGTCTCTAAATCCTAACCCCGTATGACCTGCCCTTCACCGTATCACTGTGGAAAGGCTCAGCATCATCTCTGTGGAGGAAAGAACTAGAGTAAACCCACAACTGCCTTTTCTATCTAGTCCCCTAACTGCAAATCTTGGTACCTATGGGTATGCAGTAATCACTTCTTATTCTCGGGAATTCCAACGAAAAGAGCCACACCACAGAGACCAGCCTCCACGAGAGGGGCCGGGTCTGAGGACACCATGCCCAGAGCAGAACTCTGCCTGGAACGTGCTCAGACATTGGAGCTGGTCTTCCCTTTGCAGAATCCTGGGGAGGAGAAACAGGGATGGCAAAGGTAGGACTCTGCCTACCAGGGCAGAGCACCAACAGAGCAGAATGACAAGGCCTGTGACACGCTGCATCCTAAGTGTCCGTCACCCAAGGAGACAGGCCCCATCAGTGAACTCTGCAGTGTTAGCAGCCGGGAAGTCAGTTAAGTGATAATGGAAAAAGCCTCATCAGATTCAGCCTCCCTCCACCACCTCTAAGAGCACTAATAAAACTACCGTGTATTTATTAACATTTGCCTCTCATTGGAAAGTTGAAAACACACTATTAGGAGTCATTCTAAAAATCCACCACCTGGCGCGCCTGGGTGGCTCAGCCGGTTAAGCGTCTGCCTTTGGCTCATGATCTCAGGGTCCTGGGATCGAGCCCCACGTCGGGATCCCTGCTCAGCGGGGACTCTGCTTCTCCCTCTGCCCCCTTCACCCCAGCTCATGCTCACTCGCTGTCTCTCTCCCAAATAAATAAAATCCTTAAAATAAATAAACAAAAATAAATAAAAATCTACCACTAAGCAGTTTCTACCAGATCTTACTTGGTATGCACTCTACAAATTCACATTCAGGTAGTTTGAGAGCTGTGAAGAGATATAACCAGAGGACTTGGGAGGACAAGGAGGTTAAAAACAAAAGAAAACAAAACCACCTGATTTCACATCTTTTTAACCACCAAACCCACATTCTACACACACATTCCCCATTTCTTTTGTGTAGGTGTTTCTCAATAAAGTATAAGCAACGCTATTTCACAGAATCTACTGTAGCTAAACTCGTCACACACATATAAAAAATGAAGAAGAAAAGAAATTTAAATGTTTTTTCCTTACAAAATAGGAAGACAGGATCATGGTACAACCAGCCAAAATGGAGGCCAACACGACGTCAGGTGGTATTTCCGAACCACTCCTCCCGAGGATGGGGGTAAACATCTCGAATACTGCCCAGATGAGGTACAATGCATAAAGATAAGGAATAAACATCCCCAAAAGGTAAAAGGCAATAAATTTTCCTTGGGCACCTAGGGAAAACGAGAAAGAAAACACACATCTCTGAAATTCTACAGTGAGATCCAGATTTTATGTACCAGTGTACATGAAACAGAATGCTTTCATTCAGGGACAATAAAATACAGATAATAATGCAACAGAGGATGTAATACATCGTTAGCTAATGTGTTCGTAAACGCGAGCATGGCATGGGGTATGAGGTACAGGATGAAAATCTCTGTGATCTAAACATTTAATAAAACAAACAGCAACAATCTTGAAAGCCTACCCCCAAAGACCAAAGGGAAAAAAAAAGAAACAGTCCCTGCAAGTCTCGTCGTAAGCATTTTAAGGTATTTTCCCATTTGCATCAAAACCCCAAATACCGTACCATGGTGCTTCAAGTCTTTGTGCACGCAGAGCTTTGTGAGCAAGGGAAAGGCCACCCAGACGGCACTAATAAACGCCGAGCACAGTCCTCGGTACGTGAGAGCCAGGAGGGAAAGGCAGTGCACACACAGCGAGGTGTCAAAGAATACTTCTCCCAGATACTGGTCACTGGCATTCTGAAAGACAGAAAAACACACCCGCAGCCTCACACGTGGCCACTCACAAAAATCTGTTGCAGTACCACTTCCACTGCTCAGAAGAGCTACATGTGGTCTTAAACGTCAAGGAAACGCTCACGAAGCTACCTGCTGTCAGGACGGCTGCCCTGGGAAGGGGCATTTAGTAAGACGGAGGGAGAACATCCCGACTTGTGTGCAGTATGTGCTCCCCGTCCGCCGGGCTCATGGTAACCTTTGGAAATTCTCTCAAACCTCCTAAAAACATTCACCCCTGTGAGCTTTTCTATTTACGCAACTTCCAAAGAACTTCAAGCCAAGGAGGGAAAGGTCCTGCTTGGAGCGGCCCGGGTGCTGTGAAACCACCTGCAGCCCCTCGAGAGCCCCGGCCACGGCGTCTGGCCGGATTCCCAAGGCCTCTCCACCTCTCCCTGGCCCTGCGGTGCAGCCCGGCCCCCGCCCCGGATTCCTGCGGCTTGCGCATTCATAAATCTGATCCCTACTTTTGGGCTTTGAGGTCTGCGGACTCCGGCAGAGCCCCTGGAGTCCTTCAGAGGAGAGCCGCCTAAGAACTTGACACGTCCCAACGCCGCCGCGTGGGGGCTCTGTTCACGCAAACACGGAAGTTATCATTTCAGCGCAGGGACCCCACACCGGAAGAGCCCAGGCCCCGGGTGGTACTTCGAGAGCTCAAAACAGTTTCAGTCGCGTGTTTCCAAAACCCGTCCAGGCTCCTCGGACAAACCCCCTCAGACATGAGGGGCCAGCGCTGTGACACCTCTCGATGTTCACCACAGTGTGAGGATGCGCGGTCTTTAAAAATAATGGAAAATAATTCTTAGGACTCTATTTGAAGCCACGTACCGAGCACATGTTTAAAGACACAGGTCTCAGCAGCGCCGACCACACCTTGAACCCCCAAACTGTGGCCCAAGGTCGCACAGATGCCCCTGGAACCTGGTTCCCCTCCCCCCGCCTCCCGCCAGGCCTGCGCACGGCCATTCCCCACACCGCGCCCCTGGAGTCCCCGTCCTGCTCGCAACAGGTTAACGGCAGCCTCCCTGATTCTCAGAGTCCTCCTGCAGCCTCCCGCTGGCCTACTTGTCCGGTTATCAACCTTGTCTTCACCACACGGACCTTCTTGGCTGTGACCCAACTAACTGCATCTTGTGCTCTCCCACCTCTGACTGCCCATCAACCTGCTCTCTATCTGCCACCCTTGCACTCACGCTTCACAAACCCAGTTCCAGTGTCCCCGCCTCCTTCACAAAGCTTTCCCAACTTCCACACCCCGTAGTCCCGCAGCGCTGGGCACACGCCACTCTTCCCACTCATCCCCAAGCGCCGCAAGCCCAGATGAAGCTGTGAGCCCCTCAAAGAAAGAGACCACGCGCTGACGAATCTCCCTGCCACCAGCCTCAGCACCGTGCCTGCCCACCCAGCACTCCGAGCATTTGTGAAATGAAACACATTATCCTTCCTGTGGTGCGTCCAGCCCCAAACTTTATCATCAGACAAATTAGTCAAAGTAACTGGAACTTTACTAATGGCCTTTCTGTCTCCTGCCCCCTGCCACACTCACCCCCCCCACGCTCTAACACACCGCTGCCCTACGAATAAGCACGTGAACTTGAGCCCCACGGCATCCTCTTTTTAGAAGCTGAAGCCACTAAGATACAAGTATTAGCTCATCCATAAACCAACAGCTAACTTCAAAAACCTCCCTTCACTAGGCCTGTTAACAAGGACGCACTCCACAGAGCACATCCAGACGTGAACTGAAATGGAGACCAAGATTCAGGCACCAGAGATCCCCGTGGAAAGATCTGGATCACCATCCCCTGTGTGTCCATGCTAACCCCTAGCAGGGCAAACAAAAAACAGGTGCGTTGGCGGTCTTGAAAATAAGTAACGGAACTAAGAAAGAGTTTCCCTTTAACTCACAGAAAATCTTTGGAAGCCACGGGTCACTCTCACTGTAGTTTGCCCTAATTTCTACTTTTCTGTTTACCAAACGAACGTATACAATGGAAACCCTACGTCAGCAGCAATCATTCCGGAACCCTCTCTCCCCTCCCCCACCCGTGCTTCCACCCCAAGCCACGGCTGATGCGGTCAGCCTCTGCATCAACACCACACGGGCTAAAGAAAGGGGAGGGAACTGGAGAGAAGAGTCTAGGTGTGGCTCAAAGGGCAGCAAACGCCTCCTGTGTGTCCATGCCCCGTGCCCCAGCTGCCCGAGCACGGGGGACGGAGCGCGGGGGGGACAGCGGGCGCCCCGGCCCTGCCCCCAGGGGTGACGGAGCGCAGCAGACTCTGCAGAGGCGGAGACAACCCCCCCAAACACTGACAGCTTTACAGCGGCACCAGAACCCCCCCCAAAACCCTCCAAAGACAGTTCTGGGAGCCAGTTTCCTACAATCGTGCCAGACCGTGTTTGCTCGCTTGGAAAGCCACATACAACGAGTCCCACTTGAGTCTGTCTTCGATCCTTGAAGGCAGCAAAAAGAAATCAATAAACATGCCTCACACTTACCACATAGTACAATTTTTTTGCGAGAGTATGTATGAGTACGATTTTGGCCACAGCTGCAGTTCCGTACAGACAGACGGAGACATAGAAGTGGTTGTACCACGACAGGGACTGTCCAACCAGGGAGACGAACACCGCCAGGATGAGCACGGTGACCAGGCTCGTGAACCAGCTTATCAGAGTGATGCCAAGTGCGCAGAAGAAGTCCTTCATGTAGTTATCAGCTAATGCAGACAAAGCACAAAGCAGACGTCACCAACTTTACCAAATCAACCGCAGTTGGTGGAGGTAAAGGGGCAAACGGTAAAACAAAAAATTCACCATTGTCACTGAAAAGTACTGAAATGTCCCAGGGGTCAGGTTTGTCAAAAACTTGAACAACGAAAACTATTCAAGTAACAGTTGCTGAGAGTGTGGGCACTAAAGACTCAGAGACCTAAGTCCTGCAGTTCAGCTTTAATCTTCAGCACCTTTGGGGATGTTCTGTGTATCGAAATACCGGCAAGAACGGAAGGCCACGTTCCACCCGGCATCCGGCCGGGAAGCTGACTCCGGGAGGAGGAGAGTGCAGCAAGGTAACCGGGGTGGTCTGCCCCTGCCCCTTCGGGCTGGTAACCACACACACCAGCCTGGACCATGAAACGTTCCGAGCAGAAGGAGACCAACTGGGTCAGACGTCAGGACAGAGCCCTGACCACTGGTCTGTGGTGCGGACCAGAGCTCTTCATGGGCATGTCCGCTAACAGTCATCTGTACAAACCGTTTCTCGGGCGTAAGCAGAGAGAGCCCCACTTCACCGAGACCAGAAATGTAATGAGCACATCCACCTGATACACACTTCGGAATGTCTTACAATATACATCAGAAGTTAGGTTTCTTTAGAATTTTGGACTTCTTGAAAAGAGGCAAACAGACTAGAAAAACCTCAGGCAAATCCTTATACCCAGGCCAGCACTGCGGTTTGAGAGGAAAATACTTACTCTTGTGTTTGGGCTGCAACAGCTTCTGGCCCAGGTACAACATGCCAGCCACTGCCACCATGGAGTTAATTATCGAGCCGACGCGGGAGGGGTAGGCGACAACAAACAGGCCGAGCACGTCAAAGAAGACCATGTTTCCGTGTCGATACTGAGAAGCAGCAGCCAACATATCGGATGTAGCGAGATATTTAAGAACCGCTAAAATGTTGTCGCCTATTAGTAAAGAAGAGAAAGAGAACGAAGGTGCATAAACCACGCAGCCTGAGTAAGCACACAACTGACAGAATGCAGACAGGGAGAGCTTCCCCCCCGTCCCCCCACCGTTCTCACAAGACGTCTCAGAGAGGCCCGGGCACCCGCTCTGTCTCGTCTCCACAGAGACGCTCAGCCAGCTGGCCTTCATCCTCTCCCTTCCATGAGAACCGTTCTCTGACCCACTCTTTCCTCACTGCTGACAAACCCAAAGACTGTTTCTTAGTCTATTCGTTTAACATCTACCTTAAATACTGCTCTAGACACCAGAATTTCAGTGCCGAGCCAAGAGACACGAGCCCCTCAGGAAGCTCACACACACCAAACACGCGGTTACTCATGTGTTCGGAATGAGGAATGTCAATTATATTTCATTTAAAACACGAATATAGACAGGTAGGAGAGGCCCCCGGGGCCACATCACGGGCGGCCGATGGAGTCTGAGAAGTTGGGGAGGCATTTCTATCTAGATGCTCCTAGAAAAGCACCTGTGTGCTTGCTGCTCAGGGCCGAGGAAGGGGAGCTGCACCACCAGAGCTGCAAGGTGAAAGCTCGGAGGGGACTTTCCAAACACAACACAAGTGTGACCCTGGAGTCCTCAGCCACGGAGCCGGGCACACCAGAGCCCACGGAACTTTCACGCAGGAGCGGGAAGAAGCCGTCAGTGACTGGGGTGGTTCTCCCACGCTCGTCCCAGCCCTGACTCGCTCCGCTTCCCCTGAGACGCCACACTGTCTTATCGTGCCGTTTCGGTCACTGGCTTCTCCGTCTGCCTGCAAACGTGTTTTCCCCAAAAGCTCCGGTCGAGTCCTCTACCTTTGCTTCACTCTTCCCCAGCCCATTCCCAGCCCCCAGGCTTCTGTGGTTTTCTCGATGCCTTTGATTCCCAAACCTGTATTCCCAGTTCTGCCAAGAGCTCTAACACCATGTGGGTACTTCCATCCGGCCGGTTCAGCGACCCCTCCGTCGATGTGACAGAGCTGACAGCCTCCTTCCCCTCTCCACGACTGCTCTGGGTGAGGTCACCTTCCCACGTCCCCATCAGGGTCAATGGCACCATCTTTCCCCAGCCAGCTGGGCCTCAGACTCCACAGCCGTCCCTGCCACCGGCCGCCTGGTTCGTCCCTTCCTTCCAACTGGTCAGCTCTTGTACAAGTTCCACCCAGATTGTAGTCTGACACTACTCACCAATACACACACACACACACACACACACACACTCTGCTTCTGCCTGGAGCATCCTTCTCTTCTGCACGGTGCCAAATCCTATCAACTCTTTCGTTAAGGCTCCCCATCAGACTCCCCCCACCCCCGACTACTCCAGATTTCTCTGGCCCCTGTGTTTTCCTGACCCCTGTTCTCTAACGCCCCCACCTGCCCTCACCACCCAACTTGGACTGATGTGACTTTCTATACCCGGGCAAGCTGTCCTATCACGCGCCGGTGCCCCCTCCAAGCCTGGCTTCCATTCTGGTACATGCTCATCGCTCACCCACCCTCGCACGCACCCTGGGCCTGCTCTCTCCTTCCAGTGCCTCACAGTGAAGAGTCTTACATTCCTGGTGGCTAACCTGGACTTCAAGGCTAAAACTCGAGCCCCTCATCTCTCTCACTCCAAAGCCCCACCCAGCTCGCGCACACCACACACTGCGACCCTAATGCACCATCCACATGATAGTTAGGGGTCTGTAGGTCAGCCCTGATGTTCCATCTTAACATAGATCAAGGGTCTACATTTGAATACCAACCTGCTCTCTGAATGGAATCTGTCAGAATTCTGTCCGCTGTGTCATACTTGGTGTGATAAATGTATCCATTCTCAATAAAAGCTAAGTCAATTCCTAGAAACGCAGAAAAAAACAAAACGTCATTCTGCTCTGAAGAACCACCTTTCTTTAAGCCTATTTGTCTCACATTAAATTCCTAAGAGACAAAACGTCAAAGCGGTGGCGTGATTGCTTAGTCACGTTTATGAATGTCTAACAGAGCCCAGAGCTGTGGTACAGAATGAGGAAGTCCACACATCAGGGAGACCTTCCAACTCACTCAGCAAGGGGCAGGCGTACAGAGCTTAGGAGGCCGTGGGAACTTTGCTGTCTACACCCTTGCTGGGCCAGAGCCGAACTCTAACTTCGTCAGCTGTACAAGCCGCCCAGCAGCTAGCAAAGCAAGACGACAACAAAGCCAAAGACCCCTCCAGGATCTACGGCCACCTTCGGCAGGGGGGAATGAAGTGCTAACCAGCTGTCCCCCGTGCTGCCACCATGTGGGGCAAGACGACATGTTCTAGGAAAGGCA